CCGGAAGATGTCCGCTTCATGTTACCGGTTGATCGCGGGGTCCCGAAGGGACTAGAGTTCGGTGAGAGACTGTAGCCCAGAGGCGATGGTTTCGAAGTACGATTAGAAGCCTGCATTTTGTCAGCACAGCTTTACCAAATCCTTCACCGGCTACCTACCATGATCATCTCGTGGAAAGAATAATCTCAGATTCTGATAGTTCGCGAAGGGAGGCTTTGTGATCGGGGGTAAAATACGGTAAGGAGGGTAAGGCACGATAAATGAGTTGAAGTGGTGTTTATTCGACAGGCCCGAGACAGGAGGGTGTAACAGCTCTTCGTTGCCACAACAACCATCCAACATCCCGCCCTCCACAATTCCCCTCCTTTTCATCCCATCACCAACCCCTGGACCTCTCTGCAAGTCATGACACTCCAGCGATTACGGCCAATAACTCATCTCACGGGAATAACCAATTCAAAATATGCTACATATCCTCGAGCATGCATCTCAACCGTATGCCCTCGCCTAACACAACACCCTGCACCCTCCAGCACCCGGCTTCTGCCGCGAATTCTTGACCCAGCGGTCTGGTTCCCGTTCCACAAAACCGAGGCGAAGAAAGGGCAAGCAGCCCCAAAGGAAGAAAAGCCCAAAATACATAATCCTGTCACCTTCTTCGTTGTTGGTCTCACCTTTTTAAGGGAAATATGACGGGTGGATTAATTAATGGGCGCAGGTCATGGCGATGCTCATCGGTTCGCAAGGAATTCAAATGATCCGTATCAGACAGACTCACGAGGATTACATGTGGCGGGCAGATACAAAGATTGCGGTTCTACGGGAGGTCATTGAACGGCTAGAGAAGGGGGAGGATGTGGATGTTGAGAAGATGCTAGGGGTAGGTAATGAGAAGGAAGAAAAGAGTTGGGAGGAGGGTATGCATTTTCTATTCCTGGGTAACCTGAGCGGGTGCTAACGGCCGATCGCAGTCTTGAAGCAATTGGAGGAGGAAGACGCAGAGTGGGCAGCGAAGAGGAACCAGAAGGCTCAACCTACCCCCTCAATTGAAAGAAGCGCTAGCCCGGCTGCGGAAACCTCCAACCCAGAGGAAAAACCAGAAGAAAACAAGAGGTCAAGGGAAGAACCATTAAAGCCGCGGGGCCCAAGAAGTGCTCGAGATTATGGATTTAGTTAGAATCCCCACTCTGCAAAATAGAATGTATATAAAACTGTATAATATATTACCACTGCAATTTTCATACCACAATCAGTCACACGAGGCTCGAAGTTGTGCATTGGCTACCGTATCTGGTAGGTTGATTGACTTTTGCTTCCCGATCCTACCCCGCCAAACAAACCCAAAGCCCTTGGCAGCCACGAACCTCATTGACAAACCCCCCATCCCGAATCCACTCTTTCAATTGGCATCTTCCGCACGAAGTCCCCTTTGCAAAGCTCTTCAAAGGTAAAAGGAAAAGGAAAAACAGCTATCATACTCCATCCCCTACATCCCACCAACGAAGGATATCACTCTGCAACGAAATGGCCTTCGAAATCAAAGCCAAAATTGCCAACTTTGGCGGGCAGCTGCTCAAGCTCGAGCACCAGAGTATCCACTCCCATCCTATCCCTCCAGTAGCCATCCAATCTAACATAAACTCTCCAGGCGCCTCAACCAAGACAAAAATGGCCTTGAATCTCTTCCTCCCTCCCTCCTCCATTTCCCACCCGCCGAGCAAGATCCCCGTCCTAATTTTTCTCTCAGGCCTAACCTGCACGGGGGACAACTGCGCCGAGAAAGGCTTTCTGCAACCCCACGCCGCCAGGCACGGCATCGCAGTTGTTTATCCAGACACTTCCCCCCGCGGGGCAAAAATCGACGGAGAGGACGATAGCTTTGACTTTGGTTCCGGCGCAGGATTCTACGTGGATGCTACTACCGAGGGATGGGGGAGTAATTACAACATGTACACTTACATTAATGAGGAACTACCCTCAGAGCTTTTCAAGCAGTTCGAGGCGCTGGATAGCGGCAGAGTTGGAATCACGGGGCATTCTATGGGTGGGCACGGGGCCTTAACTATCGTATGACCCCCCCGTTCTTTCTGCATGATGAGTAGATCTGATGAGAGTGGATTGGCAGTTCTTGAAAAATCCAGGCAAATACCTCTCCGTGTCCGCCTTTGCCCCCATCAGCAATCCAATAAACTGCCCATGGGGACAGAAAGCCTTCGGGGGATACTTTGGTGAGGAGAATAAGGAGAAATGGGCAGAACACGACGCTACCGAGCTTGTGAAGTCGTGGGAGGAGGATAAGACCTTAGAGGTGCTCATCGACGTGGGTACTGCTGATAATTTTTATAAGCAGGGACAATTGCTCCCAGAGAACTTCAAAATGGCTGCAGGTGATAAAGGGATTCAAGTTAGGTATCAGGAGGTATGTATTCTTGCGGCCCGGGTGGAATGGTAGGGGGGAGAATGTAAGGGCTAATCGTGGTGACGGTGTGATATAGGGGTATGATCACAGTTACTTTTTTGTTTCAAGCTTTGCAGGGGACCATGTGGACTTTCACGCAAAATACTTGTGCAACCGGGCGCTTCACTAGCTGCTAGGTAGCTTGAAGGGTGACTGCTGACAGGTTAGTGCTTCTGCGGAGGTTTAACTGTGGGTAGATAGATCATACGAAGCCGTCATTCTCTTGAGATAATAGTTCTTGCTACCAGTGGAGAGCAACCTCTTAGAGAAAAGATCAAATCATTTATCGAGTGACCATCCATGATTATCACCCAATCAGTTGACCAACGGTTAACTCAAAAGGATAAACAAAACAAATACCACCCTCTTAATGGCGATGGCCCAAGATCTATTCGCCTGGTGCCGAATTGTAGCGCCTATTAAGATCAAGCCAATGCATTCAGATGCACACCACATCTTTCTAACCCACGATAACGGACACAAACCCAGACACCCACCTCTCCTAGCAACACAAGTACTACGGTAGTACACTAGCGAGGACAAACAAACAGAGCGCGAAGATTTGAATCATACACTTAAGCTCGAGGATCTGTCATATTACATCTACTGTACTGACTAACACTACCATCTACCCATACAGACCATTCGCTCCTGGTTACATCCAATATCACCTCCTCTCACTCGAAACTTTCAACCAAGGAGAAATTCCCTTACAGTGCCAGAAGCCGTGGAGGGGAAGTGCGTAGCCCCCTCTCCCCACCACTTTGATTACTATTATCACCACTTGTATCACTCCCTTAACCCGGGAGAAAGGCAGCCAGCCAGACAGAACCATATTGAAGTTTAGATCCACGATGTATGCAAATATGAACTCAAGCCACGGTGTGGCAAGGCGGGGGAGTCTTACTCTTTCACGGGAAGGGGGGAGGGGGCACCATACAGCGTTTTGCTGTATGTATTTAATATCATAGCAGTGCAGTCCTTCCTTCCCACGCTCCAACCCCCGTTGCAAATACCACACAGTGCAATATCACAAGTCGGATTGAACCATATTTGTCCACCGTCAATACCGCGCTACCGCTTTAACCACGAACCCACCCGTATCAAGTAGACCAGAGTAGAGAAGAGCAGAGCACCTTACATCTTTAAAAATAAATTAAAATAAGATGGAATAAGTGCTCTGGACGGCCTACCCGCCCGGGGGTTTCCGTGTACAGTACGAGTACTAGTACTAGTACCCTCCCCTCTAACCAAACCAACCAACATCTACGCATAAGTATGATACTATCAGTAGACAACTTTAAATACTGTACTGAATTGCAAGGAGGTTATTACACGTGACCGATTCCGTCAGAGGTTTTCGTCGGAAGTTTTCGTCAGTTTTTTTATTTTTATTTTTAATGGCGGTGTATTATAATACCGCACAAGCACAAGTACGGTGGGTGAGTGAGTGAGTGGTCATGCGGGAGATTTTTTCCCCCCCCGCCCCGCCCCTGGCTACCAGTGTTCGGGACGGGAAGGGATTATTTGTCTTGTCGCTGTTCGTTACGTGTTTACTTAATGGTGTTTTGTGGCTTCGTGTCTTTCTTCCTTTCTTTCCTTTCTTCGGATTGTATGTATGTATGTATGTATGTATGTATGTATGTAAGGGTGAGTGGGGAAACCCATTGGCGGAGGAGGAGGAAGGAGGTTTCTTATTTGTTAAATCCTTTGATTGTTTAAAGAAGGAGGGAGGAAGGGTGTGTGTGTGTGTGCTCTTGTATAATATATTCGGCGGGCTGGCTAGTGTACCGAATTGCACGGTGATCCGGCCGCTCTCGCCACAACACCGTAAGATTTGGACTTTCGGAACTTGAGCTCTAAGTGAGTAGGGTAGGGTACAATAGTGGGTTAATACTCACATTCTAACTTACACGTTTAGACTACCCCCCCCCCCTCGAGGCCTGCGTGAACACCTACCGGACCATCCATCCCAATGAGCAAAAAGAATATTTGGTAGGTACTACTAGTGCAGTGCAATATATTTATATCAACCCATCCATCTATCTGGATCAACAAAACACCGCGGCTCCTGTCCCCCCCGTCGCACCATATATCACCCACCCATGCCGTATCCTGTTGTACCGGGTACTTGTACAAAATACCCTACCGGTATCCTCGCCCCCCCCCCCCATGAAGATCCTTCAATCACTGGTACTTGGGGGTAATTTCCTGTGGAAAGTGGCTAGGGTATGTTTGGGCGATCGGCGTGGATACCGATCCAAGCAAAGAAAAGAAGAAAAGAATAGAAAAAAACCCCCCGCAGGAGAAAAGGATATAATAATTTACAACTCCCGATATAAACAGCTAGAAGAATGATGAGGAGGAAGAGGATACAGAACGCTATGTTACAATGAACGGATGAAAGAATTAAACAGTCATCACCGGGCGTCACTCGGGATCTATTGAATGACACAGGTATCGGACCCGACATTGGCCGCGGGCTGGGAGGAGGATACACTTCCATCCTTCTCGATCTTGTGTTGAAAGTCGGGGGATGTATTCCAGAGATTTAGCACTATGATGCGGTCCTCCATTGCCATTACGACGCATTCTTTTCCACCGGTGATGGAGAGGATTTCGTTGGTGGTGTTTAGGGATATGGTTTGTTCCCTGCCATCGTAGATGGGGAGCGCACTGATTTGCCCGGGGGTTCTCGAGAAGGCTAGGAATGCTGCTCGGCCCTGGGAGCAGCCAGTATAGCCTTTCCCACCGCTAACCTCTCTGATTTTCTCACCGGCTCGAACCGTGACTTTGCCTTTGCTCACGGCACCGACAAGGCCGCCAAAGCAAACCACCCCATCCCCTTCCACTTTCAACACAAGCCTCCTTTCAAAGCCTTTCCAGGTCCTCGCCAAGTTGCGCTCCTCCCCGTCCCAGACCCCCAATAGTGAATTCCCGACAAGCACCCCTCGGCCATCGCTCTTAAAGGCCAACCCGTCACCGGTTACCCGATACACCAACATCCAGGGACAATCCTCCCGCTTCCCGCTTTGCCCCGTGGGTGCGCTGGTTGCTGGACCGGAGCCTTGCAAGAAAAAGTTGTTCCTGCGGCGCCAGAGGGCGTACGAAGGATGTATAATCACCGTCTTGTCCTTTGTGGTTATCGCCACGAGTGGTTCTTCCGTCTTGCCTGCTCGGCCGAGGGCGATTGACTCAATGGCTGGAATCGGTGCAGAGTAGAGGCGCAGTGAAAGGCCATTGGATAGGAGGGCGTAGAGGTATAACTTCTGCTTTGTCGAGAGGGCCAGGTAGCCCCCCTTCACGGCGAGTTTGGCGACCTTGTTTCTGATTTGTATGGTGTGTGTCCGCCTTATCGGGGATTCAGTAATGTCGTAAACGTGCACCCTATTTCTGCCCACCACTACTGCCATTCTCCCTTCCACACCGCTTCCCCCGTCACAGGAAACGGATACGGGCCCGTGCGAGGGCGGTAGCAAGTATGTCCCCCGGGAATACATCCATGCTGGAGCGGTTTCACGCACGTACTGTGTGAACAGCTTTTCCACCGTTGGGATTGGGATCCGGTGTGGAACGGCCGCGCGGCCAAAATGGGCACGCAGAATGGAGAGGTGCGGTCGGAGGAGTTGCGGCGAATGCGATTTCGATAGGAAGATTGTTGAGCGCCAGTGTTTGCAGGTTAGACTTGCGGTGAAGAGTGTCTGGGTGTCGAGATACGTGAAGATCGTGGAGAGGAGTGATGGGTGTAGCGCTTGCGCCGTATTCGCGGGGCATTGCGGAGACGGGGGCGGAGACTTTCGGAGGGGTGGTGAGAGCGATATCATTGTTGAATTCTGATTTGGTGGTTGTTAGGAGCAGTCAAACTTGTTGTTGTTGTTGTTGTGGCTCCGAACCGCAGCGGCGATGGTTGTGTTGACAATGGATGATCGGAGGTTCGTGGTGGTGGAGAGGAAGAGAGAGGAAGAGAACGTTCGTTACGATACAATTTGACTTTGTAGGAATGTAGGGTAATCCAAGGAGGGAACGTTCAACCTAGCAGACAGGCGTGGAGTTACCGGTAAGTTATAGCCCTCCCTGGTTCCCGGGCAATTGAGCGAAAGGGTGTTGCCTGTATTGCTGGTGGTGGTATCTGAAACGTACAAGCACGGAAGGCCATCCATCCACCCAATACAATAACCGCACAGCACCGCCAGAAATTAATGACACCACCATCACAGCCCGTCCCGGAAAGCAAGGAAGCTTCGGTGCTGTAGCGAAGGAAACATGTACCAGAGAGGAAATAAAAGCGAAGATAGAGAAGTCTCACCCAGACTTTCCCTCCCTCGTTTATGCCCGAGTCAGCCTTGTCCAGCAGAGATCTCCCCGGGTTGTGATGGAACGGATGAACAAAGAGAAGGCTAGCACGGGGGGTGGCTCCGCGGTTTGTGTGCTGCTAAGTACTGTATGCTAAGTAAGGGTACGGTACCGGTAATTGGCCGTTGCGTCGGATTGGTTGAAAACGGGGGGTGAATGATTTGAGGTGATTATGATATTATGATACCCGGACCGGTAGGGGGATTCAAATGAAACCCTAGCCCACAGCCCCCCCCCCCCCTGTGAAACTGCTGGTTGGGCTCGTAGGGACAACGCGCAAAACGTCCCCACAGCATACGGTATCATACCGAGGACAGCGCCGAACAAAGCATCATGGCTGCTATATTCTGTCCACCCAGGGCGCGATCGCTTTCACAAGAGAATGTGTGAAGATGGGGAAAGGCTCCCAAAGCAAAGACGAAAGTTCCTAACGCCGGTAAACCCTTAATGACAGAGTTAATGCACCACAATTCAAATCCGGGTGACAGTGGATGACCCCTGAGCTGACCCGATCAAGCACACGGTACTTGGGTACAAACAACCTTCCTGTCTCGCTACCCCCCGTACTACACAGTTATCGTCATAGCAGGGGGGCTATTTCCGGAAACATACCGCCTCTCCTACCCACCTTCCATCACGATCCTATTCTTCCGAACCGCATCCAGGACAGTTCCGCCCTCAAACACCCTGAGGGAGGGATCGTTCGGTAAGTGTGTCTTGAGGCGAGCACTGTCCTTGCATCCATGCACACTTTTACGGGCACCGTAACAGGCGCCATGGTAGGGCAGGAAGGCAATGCACGACCTGACCACCCCAGTAATCACAACAGACCCCGTCCGTAAACATCACATCATCTCACTCGCTAAACAGCAACAGCTTGGTCCCCCCTTTTCGCGAGCCGCATGGGGTTGGCCCGCGCTGACTCCGGCCCGAGGTGCCCGTATATATGTGGTTGTCATATATAATCAGGCACGGTGTGGATCGGAGGGTGCAGTGGTTACTGCACTTGCCCTGCAGGAACCAATGCAGTATTTGCTATATGGCGCTAACTTAGTTCTGGTACCTGGGCACCGTACGGCAGGCTATATACTGGATACCATTGCACTGCACCGTACTTGTATATCCCCTGGTACATATTTTATTGCTGGATGGACCGCGAATGACTTGGCAGGAGGCAGGAAGCTCAGAAGGGGAGAGGGGTTGGAGCGATCGGATCCAGCGATACTACAGTACTTCCGGTACCGTAGGTGATGTACCGGTATGCCATAGGGGGCGGGAGTGTCTAACTTAAGGGGGAACCTTATTTTTTCTTGGCGAGCGGTGGTGATCGGAAGGTTGATATTCGAGTGTCGATATACGAGTACCGTACCAGTACCGGTAACGGGTCTCGGAGGGTCCATCGTATTCTACGACAAAACAAGCGAGAGACCCTCATGTCACTCGTATCCAACGCTGGAATATTAAGGGTGGTTCAACATACTCGTACTGGTAAATTAACGGTTGACTTTTGTCGGGTCCACCCAGATGTTACGGTGGGCGACTCTTCCTGTACGGTACGAGTACATGTACCATACGAGTACCATACGGTACTCGGGTAAACACAAACACGAAACACACGTGGGGGGAAATCTCGGCCCGGTTGCCTCTTTCGTATTCAAAGGTTGTATTTTAGCGTGCTCGATGGCAACGAACGGCTGTGTGAGGGCCACCCTACAGGTGGAGTGGAGCGTGAACCAACCGCGCTCGGAGGTACTTGCCCATTCCAAGAGTACCTGTACTAGTACTCGAGTACTTGTATCCGGAAATCTTGGCACCGTTTGGGGGTGGGTGATGCCAAGATTTCCGGGTACGGTGGGCAGGTATCATACCGATTCATACGGTACCTGTGGATACTCGTGCTGAATGATACTGGTACACTTTTCTATGGATTAGACTCCAATTCGGCATCCGGGACAGTGGCGAAGAAAGAAATAAGAAAAATCCACATCAGGCTGATAGCGATGAAATAGGGAACAAATATCATACTATATGATATTTTGGTTGGATGGGGGGAGAATATAAGGGGAAGCTTAATCCTCTTCACCTCTCATGATACTTCTCGGTATCATACATAGCCTTAGGATTGGGCCCGCGGTTTCTCGAATTCCGATATATTGCGTGATAAATCGTATTCAACTGATGGGAATGTTTAAGGAGGATTGGTTACTGGTACTATACGATAACACCCTCTTTTTATTTTTTGTCGAACTACCAACCCTTCTCCTATTACTATTATACTCGTATCTGCACTTATCCCTAATAATAAGATTACAAAGTATGTTGTACCCGAGTACCGTACCGTACCCGCTCATCACACGTGGAAGGTAGAGCCATCATATCATACAAAAGAACCATAGTCTTCACTGCTCTCGGAGCTTGAAAGCCCTTATCAATCAATCAAATCGTGCCTGGCTACCACCCTGAGAAGTTGTTGAGATTGCGCTGCTGTAGACGCAGGACATGGTAGAGGGGTACTATGCTCGTACTGCAGCATAGGGCAGACATGTATGCACTGTACGAGTACTGTACGCATAGTATTAGACCAGAAAACTCACGGTAAGTTGGCCCGTTTAAACGGACTTGCAGGGCGCACACCCTACGCTAAGGCACAAGCGAGCCAAAAGCTACCGTATTTCGAAATAAAAAAAAAGGGGGGTAAGTTATGCTATAAGTTAATACAGCATAATATGGATAAAATCTATGATACCGTAACCGGTGAAAGGAGTTGCCATCCGAGCGGAGCTCCATTCACTACAGTTACAGTTACTGAAAAAGGGGCTCGTTCGGACGCGTTTTCCAGAAGACAGTACTGTACCGGTGTTTTTTTATTCGAGAGTCTTCTTCACAACTGCTCATGTTTAGTCTACAAGTATTTGCCAACTGGGAACTAACTTGCTTGGTGATTTCCGCATTACTGGCGTTATATTAGAGACTGTCTATCTATTGCTCGGGGGTCGGAAGGCCACTAGTATGGTAGCGGTACTAGTACAGAAGGACGGCGTTAGGCAGTGCGGGGATTACGGTACGTACTCTAAGAATCCCGAGACAGCTACGGTACTTATGATGCGATTATCTGCCCTTGAGTCCTGAGACCGAACTTATAGAGAAATCATCCTTGATGAATACTCGGAAGAGATCTTTTTCAACTGATGGAAGTCACACCCCCCCCCCCCCTTTTTAATAAACTGTTAACTTAACCGTTATCCCCAGCCAACTCTAGGCAAGGACAACCACCCTTTAGCGCAGAGATACGACTGGGAGAATCTACGGTAGGAGGTCTGTCCTGTCCTGTCCTGTCCTATGTTCGTCGTGATACCGGTAGGTTACTCTCGGATGTCGGGAGTAAACGGGGCATCGTCATCCACCCGGGCAGTTCACACACACTCTCTCTTTCTCCCTCTCCCCCGCCTTGAACTGTACTGTACTGTACGAGTACTGTACGAGTACTGTACTCGAGTGCAACACCATTCCTTCCATTCCCAGGTCACCAATTCCCACCAATTCACGAGTTCACGATCAACATAAAAAAAAAGTACTGTATATTCCGGCAAATTTGTGAGTACCCGCAAGTGCCTTAATACATACTGCAGTACAAGACTTCTATGACGGAAGGATACATCTCAGCTTTCCATTTACCGCTCCTTTAAGATCGGACAGACAAACTTGAGCTGTGCAAGTATCCTACGGTACGGTAGCGTAGCGTAGTGTCACTCGCCTACGCGTGAGAAGAATTTTTTTTTTTTGGGCCCCGTCGGTTGGCGTTATCTGACCACATTACAAAGCGAACGGTCGTACTTATAGTCTAATGATGGGCGTGATGGAATGTCAAGGGCCTCACCTCACCTCCCGATCGATGGACATTTTTACATAATGTTCTAGGGCTGGTTTGTGTGTGTGCGTGAACAGCATAAGAAAGTTTTCTCCCGTTATTACTGCTGCCCGTGGTATCATCGATCTCCCTGTGCGCGAGAGAAGTCCAATTCGGGATCATGAACAAAGCAGTCAATGGGTTATTGTTTGTCAGTTTTTATGATACTGGTACACCTTTGTTTTTAAAAAGTCAGGGTTGTCTTGAAGTTTCTTTGTTCAAGTTAAATGGGGTCACCAAGGCATGACAAAATGATAGTAATGGTGTGACATGGGCCCTTGAGGACCATGTCTCGTGGGTGGCATGGCGGTCTTTTGCTGTGATTTGAAACAGAGGTTCACTAGAGGCTTGAAGAGGTTTTGAGGTATCATACATAATATCAAATCATAATTCGTGGGGAATGATGACTTTTAACCTCTTGATACGCGCCTTGGGGTTCTCGTCCGAGCCACCGAAGGACTGCACTCTTTATCGGGGGGGGGGGGTTTATCTCCAAGCGTCATAGCCTACCCCCCAGGATACCATGCTTTGCTGATTGAAGGTCTAGATCCCTTAGTAAGTTTTCGGCCGGTAATTGCACTCGCATCTAAGGACTCGTGAGGATTACGGCTCTGGGGGAGTTAGATTGGGGTGACGGTGGTTGTCTAATGCCCCAAGCATCGGATACGGCGTCAAAGGTTCTAAAGGGGCAATGATGTGCCCAAACTTTCCTCCAGCATGATTACCGTGGTCCGGTTAGAGATTGATAGTGTCAGCACGTGTTGGCGGGATGCGTGGTGCCAGTGCTCTCCTGGTGCGATGTCCCTCTCCGCTACCCGTGGCCTCGCTTTCTTGGCGTTCACGAGCACCTCGATTACAGTAGATTTCATAAGGGGAGAGGGAAGGGAGAGATGCCAGCTGGATCCGCCAAGAATTGCAGAGGCATTGTGGGGGGAGAAGCGAGATTAAATTTTCCTTTTGTCGGGCACCGTGATGGCAGGAGTACTTGTGCTGGCACGGGTGATTGTTGGTGAAAGCGCTTGATAGGAGTGGCGGAGCGAAGCATCCTAATACCGGCATAGTACTTGAGTCCTCGAGTATATAACATGGCGGAAGGATTGTGCGTCTAGCCCAATCGAGAAAATATCGATACGTAGGATTATCGCAACCGTATGATCCTGACATGAACAAGCCCCCAGCACCAATGCGATAGCCCATATTCTCTTCCGACGGCGCGTGTGCCACTTGCACTATCAACGAAGGCTCCCCGAGAATTCCGGTGTGCCTGTGAATTGCGCTCAAGCGGAGGCGCCCGAGGACGCTGCATTGGGTGCCCGGGGATTTCCCGCAGTGTGGATCTCATCACATCAATTGCACGGTAAACTCCACTCTCCACCACCAGAGCGACAGTTGGCCTCTGGGTTCCAGGTTCCATTGCGGTACTCGAGTACTTTCATGAGACATGGGCCAAGTGGCCTCTCTCTAGCTCTAGAGAAAAAAGGGCAGTCACAAAGCCGATCTCCCAAGTAAAACCTCGTTCGAAACGTGGAAAAGTCAGAAACCCCCCCCCCCAAGAGAAAGGGAGAAAACCCCACGGGAGACTGATGGGGTCTGGCTACCGGTACAGTACAGTAGTCAGTTTCGCACAGATCTTGGTTTCCCCAGCCTGACATGATCGGAGCGAGGGGCAAACAGTAACTGTTTACTGCAAGTAGTAGACGCTGCTGGTTTTAGTTGGTCTGGAATACTGTACGAGTACCAATGATTCCTGTATCGCGCGGTGTGGGTCGAGTCCTAGCGGAGAGGCTCTTTCGGAAGGCCAAGTCCACAGGATAAGCCCCCAGGCACAAGAACTGCATGTGCTGCACGGATACAAGTAGCACTGAACCAGATTTGTGATGGTAGGGTACGGCACTGCATCACAAAGACTCGGTTCACTTTTCGTTGGTCCAGACTTATCGCGGGTAGTTGGGGCTGAACGGGTCGTGGGGGGCATGGTTGATGGGAATCACTCTCTGTCTCTTCTTTTTTTTTTTTTTCCTCCTTGGGATTTTGCGATCGGAATGGGACAACTTTGGCTTTCCGTCCCCCGTGTTGGAGAGTTGGAACCTGTCAAACGCTCACCGATTCGGAGTGTCCCTGGCCTGGGAAAGGGTGCGTGTGGCGGAGTTCGCTTCCGGTGTACTTGAGTATTGCGCAAGGCACATGCTTTCTTTGAGAACTTGTATCGCACTGGGAATGGGGGATGATTGGAAGGTCTCGACTTGGGGACAATGGATAACGAAGCTTTAAATTTACTCAGGTGAGAGAGCGCATGAGGTTCAGGGGAAAGTTGCTTTCACAATGGTAAACTCCACCCTTTTCCATTTTCTCCATTTTCCGCTCCAACCTCCCGCTCAGGGTCACAGCACATCGCGGGCACTGATTGCTCGGGTCGATTGGTTCGGCTATCATGAATTAGTAAAGTGTAATGTTTGAAGGGAAAAAATCGGGGCCGAATATCTCCATTCCATTCTTCCTGTTTTCCTCCTCCTTCTCGCTCTTCACCCACGCTCCCTTGCCCTATTTTTCAGTCGTTCTGCCCATCCTTTTGCTTGATCTTGGACTTACAGAGCGGAACCTGTGTGCTACCACCCAAGCTGTATCCAAGCAAGCGTCCTCTCTTTCCGTAGAAAAGAAACTTGCAGGGGAGGGGGCTCCCTTTGCGCGCAACGCCCCAACAAGCCCTCATTTCATCCGTTCCTTTTTTGTAACCAGTCCAACTTTTGTGATCGACCACTTCCCCTCCCGTCCCACTCTGCTTCTACAAGTACTTCCCAATTTCCTTTTTTTCCCATCTTGTCACTCTCACTTTTTAAGCTAGCACTTCCCCTCACACTCGTTTTATTGTTGCTGCTGGATATTTGGACGGACGGCCGGGCGAACTTGGTTTACGTTTGGAAAGGCACGAGCAGAGAACAAAGGAAAGGTTAGGAAAGGATAGGAGAGAGTGCGGAGGGAGGACATTCAACGGACAACCAAGGAGACAAAGTTCAGATCACGACTCAGCAAAGCCGTCCACCTTCCACGGCCAAAGGACAAGTCCTCGACGAAACTGATGTCTCCACCTTCCTCGCAACGGTAATATATTCTAGAGAACGACCATGACAGCCCGCAGTCCCCCATTGTTCCGAATATGCCTTTCCCGTCGCTCCCGTCTCCACGCCATCACTCCAAATCACTCGCCTTTTCTCCTTATCCTCCTCCTCATAACGTTACTCCTCCCACCGCCACAGGTCCTTGCGCAGAATTCGCCAACTCCAACAAGCATTTCCCCCAGCTCAGCCTCTGGAACTGGATCGGCCAACGTTGATGGGATAACGGTGGAATCCAGCGATTCCTCCAACGAAACATGGCCAAGGCTCTTTGACTCGACTAGTGTCAGTGCGAACAGTTCGTCGAGCTCATGTCCGGCCTTCTTCAGTAAGTTCCTGGCGGATAAAGTCTTTTTGGATTGCTTGCCATTGTCAGGTCTTCTCCTGGTTTGAGTTCCCCCCCCCAGCGCTTCGCATCGGCCATTTCTCTAATCAGGGTCCGGCGGATAGAACTCGTTGAGCTACTTCGACATCACGAAAAAGGGAACCTTCGCAACAGCGAGAGTGGTCGACAAAACCTGCAATGTTCGCCTAGACACATGCACCGATACGATGGAGAGGCTGGGCTGGCAAATCCTCCTTGATGAGAATTGCGGTCAGGATTTCAGGGATCAGAACCCCATTGTCGTCCAGGCCTACGCAGGGTTTATTTCCTACCGGGTGGTGTATTCCGCCGGGTGTTTGAAGTCGGCTTCCGGGTCCTACTGTACGTTTTCCCTGGTTCGGTTGGTTAGATGTGGATGTAGGACTAATGGGGGGGGATGCATATAGGCTACGTCGACGCCATCACGAACACTACCAGCCCGAGCGATTCTTACGTGTATTATCTACCACTGGGGATCAAGTTCCCTGGGGGGTCTAGACCAACGTATGTCTATCCACCTTGCATTTCCGGCGGGCACTGATGATGCGCGCACACAGCTGTTCCCCTTGCCTTTCCCAGACAATGGCGATTTTCGCCAGCACCGCCGGAAATTCCACGCAGCCGCTCTCAACCACGTACGTTTCCGCGGCCGAACAAATTAACATTGGTATCATACCTCTTCATCTTCTTCTCCCACCTCTTCGACGTATCACGGCTAACCACTCGTAGGTTGTGGTCCCAACTTTGTCAATTCGACTGTGGAACCGATGAGCGATGCCCCAGCGAGTTCTCCCAGGCCCGCCGTCGTCGCTGCGACAGCGGTCTTGTGTATCTTACTCGTGCTAATGTAAAGTATGCTTCTTCTTCTTCATATCATTATACCCACGCACAAATAAGCGAAACAAAAGCGAAACTACAAACTTATTTAATAAGGTGGATTCTACCATATTTTTGGATAGGGTGTTGCAGCTTTTTTTTATTTTCCTTTTCTTTTCCTCGCATTCACCTTCCTTTTCTACTGTAAGATGGGGGGACTCTTTCTCTCGAATTTTTCTTTCTCTTTTTTCTCATGGTGAGGGTTGTTTTTTTTTTTTTTTTTTGATCGTTATCGGGTCTGGTCTGGTCTGGTTTGGTTTGGTTCGCCTGGGCTTATATCGATTGGGCCGTCGGGCATGTATTTGTTTTGTGTATTCTCTCTGTAACATATTGGTACGAGTTGTAGGAATACCATAAGATGAAACTTTGCTATTATACAATAATAGTAAGTAAGTATCATATATCAGGTAGGTATGTATGCAGGAGTTAGGGTAACCCGTTTTCTGAAATAAAAATTACAAAGATGGTGTCATTTCTATTTATCTATTCCACTGCCGTGTACTATAGTACCCTGTTTGGCGTATCATGTGTGTACCGTACCGTACAGCACCACTAGCTAAAAATTCTTTAATAATCCATGAGCACTTAGGGAGATATTTGAAAGAATTTTGAACCATATTATTAATTTTTCAATTTTTTTACAACTCCAGAATGCATTGAATGGAATGTGTGAACTTGCATGGTTTGGGTTGTTACATGCCATTTTGCTCATCATTTTTGTCGCTAGCCTCGTACAAACCCTCTAATGCCACGTAGTCAGCCTGCCCTTTCTAAGGCCACCAAAGCTGTCCTTCTCTCCCTCATTTTTCCACTAAAACTCCCCCACCCCCCGTCCTCATCCCCCATCTTTTCTCCCCTCGTGTCCGTTCCTCCTCAATATCCATTGTCGGACGATAGCTGTCTTTCCCCATAATACAGCCAAACATTCTTAATGCTGCTTCCCCCTGACGTGCCAGAGTCGAATTGAGTCATCAAACATATCCTTTCGTCGGGAAACCTTTTTATTCAGTCCCGAGCCTACATTTGTTTCCGCTGCTCCCCTCCTCTAATAATATTCTTCCGCTGCTCCCCTTCTTTGATATTCATCCGTGGAACGGTACCCCCCCCCATTTATTACCTGACGGGAATCCCAACCAGAGTGGTATGTTCACTACAGAATTGCTAAACATCATATTCAAGGCTAATTACATAGATATCCTCCAGATGACACCTGCGATTGTATATGGTGAGGTTCAGGAGGGTGCTTCCAGAACAGATAATCTGGCAATGGCAAAGCGAATTTTGGCAGCAGCGGTGCCTATCGTATCACGGACCCAAGTAGGGTCATATAGTGATCCACAAAGTGCATACACAAATGATGCCGGGTGTTCATTTCTACAATCAGTTCTGCGGACGGAAAGAGTTGCTCAGGAATTACTTGACGAGACCAAGCAATTACGCACTGAGACCAAGCAATTACGCACGGAGACCAAGCAATTACGCCAAGAAGTTACCATCTTACGCCCTCTGAAGGCCACAGCGATTGATATCCGATCACGCTTCTTTGCTTTCTTTCGCCGTAAGGAGGGCCTGCAGGGAGTTGGAATTGACTCTGCAATTCGAGAAGGAAATGAGACAGCGCATGCTAGTGACGTGCTAACCGATATCTGTCTATTGCAAAATGGACTTATCGCCTACGAAAACACCTTTATCTTGCTATATGGTATACGCTGGGAGGTGGCAGCCAAGGTGACCGGTAGGCTAACAGATCTTTGCTCATTGTTTGAATAATGTACTATTGTTTCTCACTAACTATGGCTTCAGAGCATGAGTATATGATTACTGCCCTAAATCACCGAGCAACAGTAGTCTCCAATGATCACAAAAAGTGGCAAAGTCAACGGGACTTTGAGAGTCTGATACAGTGGACAATAAATGCCACCCCCGATGAACGCGCAGTTGTTGGAACAGACCTGGTAGGGAGGACCTATGCAAGAAGGCTGCTCTTAAGTATTCTTCGGAATAATGGATAAGTATGCAGGTGATATGCGGTTGTGAATTCTTTTCTCGATGGCGGGCGGGAGAGTAGGGTTGCGTTCGGATACTTTGGGGGGCTTCTCGGATGTGCGACTTGTTGGGGGAACAGTGGTGGGGGATTTCGTTTGCAGAGATATGCTATCTTTCTTGAAAAAATAAAAGGTGAGATGCAATAGATCAATAGGATCACAAGAGTTTGTTTTTGTTTTTTTTGTTTTTTTCTTCTGCACTCGTTAATGGAGCCAATGATTGATTGATGTTGACTTTTGTTCCTCTTTATTGCTTCCCATTTTTATTGTTAGTACAGGTTGTATTTCGACTTTCCTTCTACTTGATTACTTGTGTCAGAGCTGTTTGCAGTTTTGGCTCCTGTGTATCTGGCTCCTCTACCTATCAGCTGTTACGAACCCTTTTACTTCTTACTACCTGTTTGCGGACTCGGAGGTCAAGAGACAAGAAGCTGAGATGATGTTTTCCTATGAGATAGATATCACCTTGGTAGACAATATAAATTAAGAGTTCATTGACTTCGAATTGGGTACTGGGGTAAACTTCTGCTTTGAGCTTTCGCATCTTGGCCCATAAAATGAGGGTGGGGGCGTCCATGTCATTGTATTTTCATTAGGAGGTAGAGGGAGAACATAACTCATATCAGGGGTCTGTTATAGTGTTCCTGACATTCAATACCGTACCTTTGGCCACCTGTTGTATGTCGAAAATAGGTTGGAGTGATGACACAATCTCCAAAGGGGCTTGTAGAGAGTTAGGGTACGTCTGGTGGTCATGGGTGTTGGGTAGTGCTATAATCGCAAAACACAAGTTGCAACCGGATACTGGAGTTATCTCAAGTTAGCATAATCTGGTAAAATAAAAGTCACAGTATGTGTCTGGTTGACATACAAACAATGTCCAAGAAATATGTATTATGTAATAATCACAATAATAAAAGTAGTCAGATTCTGTTGCGTACTCAATCAAACATTTTCAATTTCAATTGATCCTACCTTGTTCTCCTCTTTTTTTAACATTACAAGCGAAATGGCAAAAACAAAGTAGACAGAGGCAATGGTGGAAATCTTGCTAAGGACTTTGTATGAGCAGGTTGTTCGAGGAGAAAGGGTGGAAAATAGTTTCAAAAAAAAGACATGGATGGCAGCAAAGGAAGGACTTAAGACAGCTTACACAATTGACTTGGAAGCAAGTCAACTAAAAATCAAATAGTCCAATGTATGTTAGCTGAATCTTGAGAATGTATGCTAAAGAGTACAAAAATATAACTAAAAAATGAATGATAGTTAAAAAAGGATTACGATACCTATATGATAATAAAAAACAATTCAGACTTTAGATGGAATGCAGTACAGGGAGTTTTAACAGTATCAGAAAGTGTATGGGATGCCTATATGAAGGCACATCCAGAAGCTGAAAAGTTTCATAAACGAAGCCTAGTTAATTACGATATATTGCATGAGCTTTATGCAAATATATCGGCAACTGGGGAATATGTACTTACCTCAAACCTTTCTTCACAAACTGAATCCCAGTTTCCTACAACCCAGTAAGCCCACAGCTAAACCAGTAGGTCGCCTACAACTCCATTAGCAAAATCCAATAGCCCATACATACAAGTGGTTCTGGAAACATCTGTTGTCTCCAGAAAAGAGAGCGGAAAGGGGTACCTAAGATAGGAGGAGAGAGAGGAAAGTAATGGGAGTAATATGGAGGGTGGAGAGGAAAGAGAAGTTACAGTAAATGAGAGTACTGATGTAACATGTTCGCACCAGGGTGTTAGTCACGCTTCCAGGTACAATAGGACTATGGTACAGTGCAGTACCATGTTAACGTGGGAAATGGGGAGAATCCAGAATTTATGCTTACAAATGAGGCGTAGATAAAGTTGTACGATACGATACTATTACTATCAGAAGGGGAAAACTCAGTTGATTGGTGGAGTACCGATATTACCGTATAGTTATATGATAGCCATTTATATTTCTTCATCCCAAATTATTGGGAGGTCCTTTTTTTGTCCAATGGGGCTTACCTGTTCCTACCCTACTTTACCCTACCTACCGTACCTGACATGGGAAATCCCACCAGCTAACTTGAACTCAACTCACTATGGTACTCAATAACAAAAGATTTCTGGAAAGAAAACAAAACCAATTAATTGTGCCAAGATTGTGGCTTGGGTGCCACAACCTTCTAAAGCTTGCAGGCTCACTTTTGGGGACACTCTAAAAAGTGCCTGCCAGCTCAATATCACTTCCCAGCTCAACATCACTTTGTGGCTCAACATCACTTTATGGCTTAGCATCACTGTATATTTTAATATAAGTTTATTTTTAATATAATAGAATTTTACTGTCAATAGTAATTTAATTTATACACCAGCCATATTTGCTTTGTACTCTATCTATTATTATATAATATTTCAGCTTCTAATCAGTATTTTCTCCACCCTCTCAACTCTGATTGTAAAGCTTATTATTTTCCTCCTTACCATTTCTACAATACTTTATTATGCCTCCTCTACCTTCTTTTGTTCTTCCTAGTCAGAGGATTGAACCATACAATGATATTGAAAACCGTATTCAGGCAGCTCTCAGCTCACTTCAAGCCTCTCAACACAATATGCTCAATGTTGCAGCTGCTGCCTGTGAATTCAAAGTACCTGTTTCCTACCTGAGAGTACGCTAGAAGGGTAGACAATCAAAACAAGACCGACCAGGAACCAACAAGAAGCTTTCTGAAGATCAGGAGCTTGCTGTTTATCAGTACCTTGATTGTCTTGATAATATTGGAACCAGTGCATGACTACCAATGCTTACTGGGTATGTAAATACCATTCTCCAAAATGTGTATATTGGTCCTTTACCTGCACCAGTGGTCGGAAAGCACTGGGCTCCACGATTTCTCGATTGGTATCTAACATATCATATTCAAAAACAACGAACCATCGAGGCTGATCCCAAAAATGCACATCAACCGGAGGATTTATGGCAATGGTTCAATAAGTACTACACTGTTTGTGAGCAGTACAACATTGCAGTTGGTGATCGGTATAACTTCAATGAAACCGGATTTCATATTGGTGTTGGACGAGATCAGTGGATTATGACACGTGATCCTAATCGGTAGTCATACCTTGGAAGTTCTACCAACAGAGAGCTAGTATCTTTATATAAAACAATCAGTAGAGATGAGGTTGTTTTACCTTCACTAGTTATTATCCCCAGTGTTATTTACCAAGAGCCTTGGTATACAACTACTAAGATCTCTGATAATTACCTGATTGGAACTTTAGAGACAGGCTATAGTAATGATAGTCTGACAATGGACTGGCTTGCCCACTTTGAAAAACATTCCTCTCAATGGCAAGTTGGTCAGCATCGGCTCTTAATTCTAGACGGTTTCAGCTCTCACTATACCAAGGAGTTTGTTGACTTTTGTGATCAACATAAAATCATTGTTTTTTACCTGCCTCCCCATACCAGCCACCTATTGCAGCCTTTAGATGTTGTGGTTTTCCAACCTTTTAAGTATTACCATGCTGAAGCAGTTGAGGAGGCAACTCATACTAGCTGTAGAGACTTCGATAAAATTGAATTTCTGGATACTATAGATTCCATCCGTCAGCAAACATTTAAATCTTCAACAATTCAATCTGTATTTTGAGCCACTGGATTAATCTCCTACAATCTTGAAATTGTTATTTCAAAACTCAGAGAAGCTGTTATTACACCAAGTCTAGCAGTTCTTCAAGTAGAGCAAGATCACGCATCCTCCTCCTCTGAAGCCCCTCTTACTATTCCTCACTTAAAACAACAAGCAGAAGATCTACTCCATGATGCTTTCAGTGAAGATCTTTCTCCCACCTTTCAGCACAAATTAAAAATGGTTCTCCAAGGTGGTTTAGCATAAGCCCAAGCAGGAGCCTTAGCTATGGAACTTATGGAGCACATCCAAGCAGCAGAGCAAGCGAGAAGTGTAAGGTGGAGAGCACAGAATCGACGTCAGATACAAATAGGTGGTGTATTATATGCATCTGAAGTACATCAGGTGGTAAAAAGAAGAAAGGAGATAGAGGTGGAAAAGGCTGAAAAACAGCTTCAAAAAGCAATTAATGCAAAAAGACGCATTGAGAAAGCTGAATGTAAGCCTTTTTTGGATAAGATAAAGGCCTCAGTTAAGAAAAGACATGCAATTTGATCTCTCAAAAAAAAAACTCCAAGCTTGTAGTTTTGGATATTAAGCAACAAGTCTGGTTGGGAAAAATAAATAAAAATTAAGGTATTTTGTACAGTATACCTGGAATAAAATCATATACTATTATTCAAGTTTAATTCTGAATTGCAGAGTGATATTAAGCAATAAAGTAATGTTGAGCCACAAAGTGATGTTGAGCCACAAAGTGATGTTGAGCCACAAAGTGATGTTGAGCCACAAAGTGATGTTGAGCCACAGAGTGGTGTTGAGCCACAAAGTGATGTTGAGCTGGGAAGTGATATTGAGCTGGCAGGTACTCTTTAGAGTGCCCCCAAAAGTGAGCCTGTAAGCTTTAGGGGGTTGTGGCACCCAAGCCACAATCTTGGCACGATTAGTGCCTTATCACAGTGGAGAAAAATTTAGTACGGCACGGTGTAGTGTGGTGTTATACCAAGGAGATGTTTTTGTATCTGAGTACAGTACCATAAAAACCAAAATAATTGGGCATCATGCTAAGAGGTCAAAATAAGGTGGGACATAGAATGATTAGTGAAATACAAGCGACCCAACAAATGAGACAAGCACACGGGCCCATGATCCCAACTCCAACACAATAAAATACAGGAATGAGCTGAATGGAAAAGAGAAAAAAGAAAGAAAAAAGAAGTAAATAGAAGAAACACATAAGTAGATGTAGAATAGGAATGAAAGAATAGACACTGCACTTCACTCTGAGACCAGTGAGGTGAAAAAGTAGTGACATCAAACAAGAGAGAAAAAGCAGAACAAAGTCGAAACAAAATGCGGATGCAGAAATGCCCCCAAAGCGTACTGGAAGAGCTAAGATACAGCTAGTCCTAGAGCCCCTACCCGCAGATGGATTCTATGCTGGAGTGAAGAAGAAGATGGGACCTATAAGAAAGAAGCTTACCGAGAGGCTACGAGCTCCACCAAAGCCTGTTGAAAATCCCTATCGATTATATACCATCAGCTATAAACTTCCTGTCCTATCCTATTGGAAAACAGTATCCATACCTATTAGTCCTACTAAGCTTCGAAAGCAAATACATTCGGAGGTCACCAATCGCTTCAAGATTCTAGGAATGAATCTTTATCGCTGGAAGAAGGAGGAGGAGGAGGGAAAGTATAAAAACCTGACAAGAAGTCAGTATAGGGTTGCAGGAGGGGGAAGAAAAAGAAAATGAGAATTGATGGAGCGAGAGTTGTATGATCGATTTCGAGTACAGCGAGTGAGTGGAGGAATTGTGAGAAGAGGGTGGTTTCGCTGTGTTAGTAAAGAGGTTTTTCAACTGAGATATCCTGAGGTCCTACTTACTAACTTCCAATTTTCGAATAGCTGGTTTCACGGGTTTCTTCGATGGCATCGTATATCCCTATAAGTAGTTACCAACAAATCTAGTCAGCTTCCTACCAATTTCACTGAGGCAATCCTAAGTTGGATGCAGTTCAACTGATGCAATTCACAGTTGCGACTAGATGGTCAAAGAGGATTAGGAGACATACCAGCAGATGTTGGCTGATACTGTTTAGCCAACATCTGTAATACAGATCAGACGCCATTACCTTTTGAGTACCACGAAGGGCAGACATATAACAATACCGGCGAGTGAACTATATGGGTGCAAGGGAGTCAGTCGGGCTGGGATAAGCGCCAGGGAACGATACAGCTTACAGTATTCACAGATGGAGTTTCTCGAGTGAAACCACTGATTTTCTTCCATGGCCAAGGTATTAACCCTAGTATCGTGAATGAAAAGAGGGAGTATGACCCCAGAGTGGTAGTCAAGTTCAATTCAAAGGCATATGTTAATGAAGAGAACTTGCTTCAGTGGCTAGAGGACCAACTGATTCCTGTTCTTGAGAATCAGTTGACACTCTTGGTACTCGATCTCTTTGGAGCCCATAAGACAGAGCAGGTACTAGATACCTTTCTAGCCAATGATATCACCGTTAGCCTAATCCCTGGTGGCTGTACCTCATTGGTACAGCCATTAGATATTAGTATCAATCGTTCCTTTAAAGATATATTGAAGGTAGGAAAGCACTTACCTCCTTTCTTCCTAAATTAAAGTACAACAAACAAAAAACTCCAGAAAACTAACACATTTCATATTTCTATAGAAGGTTTTGGAAGAGAAGTTAGATAAGATTGAAGCTGAAGAAGAAGCAATTCTTGCTTCAGGAGGGCAGTTAAGAGATAGCATGATTGGAAGGCGGAGGATTCTTACCACATAGGCAGTGGGTGAAGCCTGGGAGATCTTCACCTGGGAGCGGATTGAGGTAATTAAAAATCTTTTCGTATACTTGGATTAGCATTGCCAATTGATGGTACATGCTGTTACACATATGAAAACACAGACCCTCCCTACGTACAGACCTCCTGAAAACCACGAGAAATCCATGGCCAACACCCCCCTCTGGCCCCACCGTTGGGCCTGCGCACACTAGTAGTATCATCGGAATTTGGTGTCCCGACAGTATAAACCGGTGGAAACGAAGCTTGCTTCAAAACACCATATACGTCGTTGCCATCCGTCCGACCGAAAGCTGTTCACAAGATATATGAGAAGAGACCTCAGGCCGTGTCTGAAAAGTGGAACAGAGTCAATCGGACGGGTAACCATGGAGCTACGGGCTAAGCGAGATTGACCATCTTGGATATAGACAGAAAGTGTTGGGACAAAATCGCCAACAGTCCAACGAGTTATCGGGATGTGCTCGTAAGGACAAAGCACGGGGCCCAGTCTAAATGCTTGCACAGTATAGAGCCAACCGGAGGCCTGTCTGTGAGTGAGGGATTTTTCCACGACGTTGAC